TTAAGTGAAATCAAACTGTTTTAATCATTTAAGTTGTTTTATGTTATTCAAACAATATAACATAGTTTTTTGAACATTTTTAAATTGTACTTTATTATAATAAATAATAATATCACAGATGCAATCTCACATGTCGTATGATGCAGTGATATTCAAATGTGGGGGCATTATTTGACAGGTGTAATTGCCATAGGAAATTGCATCCAAGGAATTCCCAACCAGTCGGAACGTTAATTAGAGCCACATAGTGTCTCCAAACACTTTCCAAGCAGTTATTATGTGATTAGAACTTTTATATATAAACCCAATCCAACCTGTATTATTGTGGTTCGGTTCTTAGCTGAATAATTCCAAAATATCCCCAACAGATGGCGCCATATGCGTTCAATTTTAACATTGTCTTTAAATATTTAAAGACACTGATTTTAAGTACGAAGTTTTTGCTTAGAGAGTTGCATTTCTACGAAGCTATTTTCTATGATGTTTGCTCAACGAACCTTAGCTTTTCATGACAACATGAGATCGAACAATAAGGCGTATTGTGTATTGGGTCACATATCTTATACTATGACACGTGCAAATTTGGTTGCATACCTTGCAATTGATAGTTAACCTTCAAATTAAATTTAATAATTATTATTAATATTTACCTATAAAGCTCTTCAATTGATCCAAATTTTTTCTTTTGCCTCCGAACAGCCTTTTGATACTCCTTAACATGGTTCAAAAAAATCACCAAAACACCATGTAAAAATTTCTTGCTATCAACATCAATTAAAACTTGCAAAAACCTCCGCAAAATCTCATCAACCAAATTTTTGGTTTCATTCAAAAAAGTTTCATCCTTACTTATAAAAAGAAACCACTTTTTAATTAAAATTTCAACGTCATCAGTAAAATCGTCAATCCTCTCATCAATACTTTTAATCTTTTTAAAATCTTCTTTAAACATCGCATCACTTTCTTTAATCTCTTTTGATTTGAATAAAAGCCCGTTTTGTAAATAAACAAATCCGATTTTTGTGTATTTTAAAAATGGGTTTTGCTCGAAATCGTAAACGATCGGTTTGTTTTGTATCAAAACTTTTCGAATTAATTTCGAAGTCACCCATAATGTTAAAGAAAAAATGAATAAGATGTACGATATTAAAATTAATCCGTTGATTGGTAAAAAATTTAATTTTAAGTCAACACCGAATGAAATCACGATGAACGATAACGAAATTATAAATAATTTTCCTGTGAAATGATCTAATATCATCGTTGGGGAGTTTTTAAATAAATATATAAACAATCACTTGTCAAAAACACAACGAATTTCGAGAGTTAACGTTCGAGACGAGTTGGAAAAACTTTATTTATTGATCCGTTTAGGAATCAGCTGATTTATATACATACATCGTGGAGAAAAATACACGTGTTTTTGATAGATAAGACTGCTGTTTTAATCATCATTATGTTGTGTTTTATCTTGTTTATAAACATTGATAATAAGCTGATTGTATCTTTAGTTATCTTGTGGATAAAATTATCTGTTATTGGAGTATGTTGGGTTGCATAAGCTAGGTACATCGATTTTAATGATTAAATTAAATTAATTTAGTTAAAATTGTTATTTTAGAAAATTTTATTAATAAAAAATGATTATAATTTTACTCTAATCAAGTATTGTATACAACAAATTTTGATTGTATCAATATTTATTGAGATAACCTCAAAAATATTCATTTATATTTTGCAATTTTCGCCGATTAAGTTTTAAAAATTCGTATAAAATCATTATGAGTATGAAAATTTCCCAAAGTGTTAATAAAAGTGTCCTCTTTCCAATGCACCAATACGTTTTGAAAAATAACTTTTCGTTTTTGAGAAAACAATATTTGAAGTTTTGATCTTGCAATTTTCATCGATAACTTTCAAAATTAGCTATAAAATTAATTTCTTGAAGGATCCTTGTGGAAATATCACCAATTATTAATTAAAGTAGCCTCTTTTTAATGCAACAAACCGTTTTGAAAAATCGCTTTTAGTTTTTGAGAAATAAATTTTTCGACAATTTTTTCGAATTCATCAATTTTCGCCGATTAAGTTTTAAAAATTCGTATAAAATCCATTTCTTGGAATATGAGTATAAAAATTTCTCAAAGTGTTAATAAGTGTCCTCTTTCCAATGAACCAACACGTTTTGTAAAATTACTTTTAGTTTTTGAGAAAACAATATTTGAAGTTTTGATCAAATTTTTGATATTGCAATTTTCATCGATAACTTTTAAAATTCGCTATAAATTTCATTTCTTGAAGGATCCTTGTGGAAATATCACCAAGTATTAATTAAAGTATCCTCTTTTTAATGCAAAAAGCCGTTTTGATAAATCAGTTCTTGAGAAATAAATTTTTGAAGTGATCGAAAATTTTTTCGAATTTTGCAATTTTGACAGATCAAGTTTTAAAAATTTGTATAAAATCCATTTCTTGGAATATGAGTATGAAAATTTCCCAAAGTGTTAATAAAAGTGTCCTCTTTCCAATGAACTAGCCCGTTTTGAAAAATAACTTTTAGTTTTTGAGAAAACAATATTTGAAGTTTTGATAACATTTTCGATGTTGCAATTTTCATCGATAAGTTTCAAAATTCGCTATAAAATTCATTTCTTGAAGGATCCATGTGGAAATATCACCAATTATTAATCAAAGTATCCTCTTTTTAATGCAACAAGCCGTTTTGAAAAATCGCTTTTAGTTTTTGAGAAATAAATTTTTCGAAAATTTTTTCGAACTTATCAATTTTCGCCGATTAAGTTTTAAAAATCCGTGTAAAATCGATTTCTTGGATTATGAGTATGAGAATTTCCCAAAATGTTAATAAAAGTGTCCTCTTTCCAATGAACCAACATGTTTTGAAAAATTACTTTTAGTTTTTGTGAATTTGAAAATTGAATATCAAATTTATTTCTTGAAGGATCCTTGTGGACATGTCTCCAATTATTAATTAAAGTATACTCTTTTTATAGTTGCTTAATTTTTATTCGAATATCGCAATAATGTGGCAATATAGGGTATCACTTCAGTAATGCACCAGAAATTGTAACCATAATGGCCGGATAAATATGCTGGATAACCGCATATCCGGCTAAAAGAGATGCCGAATATTCGGTATTTGGCTTTTCGCAAAATCACTATCCGTTCCACCACTAATAAATATTGAGTACCACCTGGCGGTGATATTAAAAATTTTTATATTTATAATAAATAGTATTGTTTCTCATTAAATAGATAGCACATTGTTGCTCGTTTCAATAAATTAAGTCTATTCTGATTGGGCTAAAAATGCGTTACGTAATGAAACCAGTGCGGTAATGAGCTTCATTACGTAACTCAAATCACCTCTAATGAGTGCAGTAATGATGACTTATACAAGCAATCGTAGATAATAGTATATTATTCAACAAGCGTATAATGGCGGCTGTTACCCACGAAGATGAAGTTGCTGTAATCTGAATGTTTATCTACAACTATTTAATTTTGAAAAAAAAAATCAAAAAAAGGAAAGAAAAAAACTTGATAGAGATTTCAGACATAACCTCAATATAAGAAAGCTGTCATTTCTATTATATTTTATTTTTTGATTAGTAGGTCGTGTCAGAACTGTGGAATAATGGCTTTATTATTCAACACTTGTCAGTCATGCGAGTAATGCGTGTCATTATTCGTATCAGTTGTTGATAAAAAAATTTATCAGCATTAATACCTGTAAAAAGAACTTCAGTAGATATGGTATACCGCAATGTTTATACAACGATAATGCAACGAATTTTTTAACAAAGATTTCCAAATTTTGCAAAACACTGGGATATTCAACACGAAAAAAGAAAAAGCAGAAGCCACAGTAAAAATTGCAAAAAAAGCTTATACAAACATCTGACGAGAATAATGAAGACTTATGACTTTGTCTTCTTCACCACAGTAATGTGTCAAATAAAATTGGATCTGGCCCTGTACAAAGATTATTTTCTAGAGAAACTAGAACTTTAACACCTTGTGCCATACAAAAATTACAAACCTGAAATAATAAAGAATGTATCTGACATAATAGAAAACGATAAACAAAACAAAAAATTTTATTATGATAAGGCATGCAAATTCTTGCCTAATTTACAAATTGAACTGCCAAAAGCTGTTCAGATAAGTACGGAAAGTAGCAAAGCTTGGTCAAGTGGATATATTAAAGAAAAATTAAAGTGATCGATCATACATTGCTAAAGTTAATGACAAAAAATATAGAAGAAGTTTATCACCTCTAAAGAAATCACCGTTTGAACAGCAGGACGCGGGTTTTCCAGAGCAGCCGACATCGTCATCATCTTTAGTGCAGGTATCGAAAGAGACCGATGAAGTGTTGCCAGCTTCTACTGAGGAGAATGGAAGAAAGAATGAACTGGTGAGTGAGAATGAAGAAAGAGTGGGACTAAATTTCTGTAAATTTTTTGCGCCATTTTTAAACGAGTTATGACGTCATCGAAGTTTTTTTTAAATGGAAATCAATAAATATTAATATCGGTTACGAATTTTCGAAAATTTTCGAGAAAAATTAATTTAAAGTTTCATTATTTCCCGTTCATTTGATATAAAAAATAGTAGTAGCCGTGCGTAACCATGGCAACCAATTGTTTTGATTTAAAATATCCAAGTGTCAAAATTCGATTTGAAACAGTTTATTGTGCGTTAATGAGAGTATTTTGAGTAGTATTGTGGAGTTTCTTGTATTAATTGTTGTCATTCATTGTTATTTGTTGCTATTCATTGCTATTCGTTGTTATTTGATCTTATTGTTTATCTATTATTGGTTATTTTTAATTATTGACTGTTCGATAAGTAAGAAAGTATGAAGTATTTGAGTGAATTCACTCAAATGTCACTTGGGTTAAAAAATGCAGCTCAAACATTTCAACGGTTTATTAACGAAGTAACTTCCGGTTTATGTTTTATTTTTGTCTGCTTGAATGATATGTCTTATTACCAGTAAAGACAAAAATGAACGCTTAATTCACCTTCGACACCTTTTTGAAAGATTAGATAGTTTTGGAATCAAAATTAAACCGTCTAAATGTGTTTTTGGAGTAAGTTCAATAGATTTGAACACGACACGAAAAATGGCGACGTGTGCGTAACTCGTGTGAAGATCGGGGCGATAAAAAGTTGATTTTTCAATAGTAATTGTGTTTGAAAATAGTGTATGTGACTTTCAAGCGTTTCCTCTAACCTTTTTCTATTGGGGTGCGGTTATTTGATTAACTCTTTATTGACATTTATCGCGGGTGATATACATTTCTTTTCGTTATCATTACAAAAAGATAACGTTATAAAAAGAAGTTGAACGTAGCTCATTTGAACGTTAGATCATTGGTTCCCAAGTATAATCTAATAAAATCCTTAATCCTTGATAACAATATTGATATTTTTGCGATGACGGAAACCTGGTTAACTCTTAATATATCCAACTCTTTAGTTAATATTCCTGGCTACAATCTGGTTCGTAGGGATCGTGGGGGGCGCGGTGGAGGTGTTGCTGTGTACATAAGAAGCTCAATACGATTTCAGCTTCTAAACAGTTCCTGCTCTATTGAGCAACTATTTTTTACCGTTGATGCAGGAAAAAAACTCTGTATTACTTTTGGAGTGGTTTATAGGCCCCCTAATTTTAATCTTCCTCTTTTTATCGAAACACTGGAGAGTACCCTTTGTGAGAGTATTGTTACATCTCACTCGACAATTATCGTGGGCGATATTAATGTTGATCTTCTTAAGCTTGATTCTCCCTCAACAACACTTCTTCACTCATTTGCGACTTCTATTGGCTTACATCAGTTAGTCACCGAACCCACAAGAATTACACAAAATTCGCAAACTTTACTCGATCCAGTTTTTACAACAAATGATAAGCTGTTTACTAGTATTGATGTTGTAAATGTACCTAATATATCTGATCATGAACTAGTAAAGTGTGAGCTGGCATTTGATATCGGTAGGCCTGCTGCAATTTATCGTACATACAGGGATGTGAAAAACATTAATTATCCACAATTCTTGAACGATCTGAAATCAATTCCGTGGAGAAACA